AATAAACCAAAAATAAATTATTTTGTTATTAAATTATAATAAAAAAATAAATTAAAGACATTACATAAAAAATGAGAATTTTTAAATAGTTGATTTGATATTAACATTGATATATTTTTTTTTTCAAATTTTTATGGTATTTTCAAATTTATATTTTAGTCAAAAATAAAATCATTATTGTCTTCTTAAAAACACATAAAATCGTATTATAACTTCAATAGAGACAAATAATAAAATATAACATTAAAAGCGAGATGTGTCTCGCTGCATTGCACGGATACTCTTATAATAGTAATAATATTGAAGTCCGATAACAAAATTAAAAGTCAAGTAAACATATATTAGAATAAATTACAATTCTAGTTTCGGTGGTTTGTCGATTATAAAGTTTTCATGTGGTTTGTAGATTATAAAGTTTTCATCCTTATGGTTTCAAAGCTACAGGTTGGTCATCGTTAGGGGTGCTCAAAAACCCGAAAAACCCGACCAACCCAATCAACTCAATGCGAAATAACCCAACCTGAAGTAACCAGATGTCTAATCGAGTTGTAAAATTGTCAAACCGTATGTATTGGGTTACTATTATTTGAACTCAATCAAACCCGATGAACCCGATATTCTTTTATTTATTGGATTTAATATGATTGTTGAATTTTTATTAATATATACATTAGACAATTACACTATCATGCTTTTCATATACACATATTTTCAATCTATTCATATCTCTGTATAACTCATTCAGTAACTGTGAACATATATATGTAAATTGAGAAAATTAACCGAATGTGATATACGTAAGAAATATGAATAGGTTGTATCAAATGGTTGATGATGAAAATGAAATTATGAATAGAGAAATAACATATTCAAGGTTAAAAGAATATTTTAATATACCAAAGTATCAACCCGACCAACCCATACGGGTTGGTTTGGGTTAGGTTGCACTTTGGTGTGGGTTGGGTTGGGTTAGGTTAAAATTTTTCCAAACCGCAAGCATTGGGTTGAGTTATTCAAATGTCTTCAACCCGATCAACTCAACCTATGAACACCCCTACTAACACCCATTAAAAACTTTCGTTAAATTGGAGGCATTTTAGAACTTTTCCAACTTATTCTCGTTCAACATTAAAAATTAAAAAAAGTACTTCAAATATTTTACTTTGAAATTGTTTGCCATGGAAACTCTTCTTGACAACACCTCCTCTTGCTCCCAAATTCAAGGAAGAATAAAAATACTCTTATGGTCACAAAGGTTCAAATACGATGACTCCTAGTTATCTGCAAAATAGGTGGTTGTTGATTTATGTTTAACGGCTGTGTGGTCGTGGGTATCCTTCAGAGAAGCAAACTTAATATAATACAATATAATATTTATTTCTATAAAAGAAAAATGAGAAACAATTGGAAAAAGTCAACAATGTTTTGTGATGTAACGGGTAATTTTAATGGCCGTTAGAGTGAGGGCAAATCCAAACGTTTTTACAAACTACTACTGACATTTTTTTATACTAAAAGGGTACATGTGCAATCAACGAAATAAATCTTCATTTTAATGTTTAGCTTTTATCATTTGTCTCTATCGATATAATACAATTTTATGTGGTTTTGAGAAACTGATAATGTTTTTATTTTTGAATGAAATATAAATATGAGGATATCATAAAAAATTTAAAAAAATAAATTCGATATTAGTATTAAATTAACTATTTAATAGTTTTCCTTTTTTATGTAACTTTTTTAATTCAATTTTTTATTTTTATTTAGTTTACGTCTAATGACAAAGTAATTTATTTTTTTATTTAATAATATTTTTATTAAAGATAATAATTAAATATTCGGTTAGAAACTCAATGATTATTTTAATTATATTTTAAATTTTTATATTTAAAATAGATGTTTATCCTGTATTTGATTATGTATATCTGCAGACTGCAGTTAGTTATACGATTTAAAAAATGAAACTTTAATAAGTTGTACTTATGCAAAATCACTTGTATAAAAAATGGTTTATCTTGAATTGTAAGTAATATGCATCAATAAACAGTACTTCATGCATTAAAAATGGTTTTTAAGAGTTTTTGTCAAATACTTTATAATATAGTATAAATATAAAATCCTCAATGAGTGGAAACAAGTATTAAAAATAAATATTTTCATATCATCTTTATCACAAATATCAATTTTGTAACCAAAACAAAAAGGGTGTTGTAAATTAAGTTAAACTATAAGAGTACTCACGTAATACAGCAAGACACGTCTCAATTTTAATGTTCAATTTTATTATTTGTTTATGTCGATGTTATAATACGATTTTATGTGTTTTTAAGGAAATCAATAATGATTTTATTTTTGGCTAAAATATAAATTTGAAAATATCATAATTTTTTTATAAAATATATTAATATTAATATCAAATCAACTATTTAAAAGTTCTCAATTTTTATGTAATTTCTTTAATTTATTTTTTTATTTTAATTTAATTTAAGTTTAATAATGAAAAATATTTTATTTTTGATTTAATATTATAAGTTTTATAAAGATAATAATTAAGTATTCTGTTAGACTCAATAGTTATCCTAATTATATTTTAGATTTTTTTATATTTAAAATGAGATGTTTATCATGTATTTGATTATGTTTATCTGCAGTTAGTTACATGAATTCAAATATGAAGCTTTAATAAGTTGTATTTATGCAAAATCTGCTTGTAATCTTGAGTAATAAGTAATATGCATCAATAAACAATACTTTACGTATAAAAAGTTGTTTTTAAAAGTTTTTGTCAAATGTTTTATAATATAGTATAGATTATATACGAAACATTCAAAAAATAGACTTTGATGTTAAGTTTTTTCCTTAATCTTATCTACCGTTCAATTACAATTGATACACAAAATCCTATACTATATACCAATCAACTGTATTTGTACTAACTTAATTGATACCAACTAAGGGGCCGTTTACCAAACATTTGTCCGATAAGCGCTTACGGGTAAAATTTAACACTACCACTTGCTTATCGGGTAAAATTATAGTCTACTAAAACGGCATCGTATATATACAACAATTTACCCAGTAAGACTATCGGTTATTGCGTCCCTCTTACAGGGTAATATTTTTTGTCTTTACCATATTCATCCGGTAAAATAATGTGACTTGGTAAGCGCTTACTAGGGTAAGCGTTTGGTAAACGGCCCCTAAGGTTTTATAATTGGTACGATACTAACAACTGATTGCAATTGATACCCGTTAAATTTGTACCGGTTGATATATTATGTTGATCAGTTTATAATTGGTACAAACTTACAATCCTAAAATGATCATAAACAAAAGGATAAAATGTATAAAACAGTAACTTACCTTCATAAAATTTCTTGCTATAACATTGTGCTTACATCTTTTTCTTATTACAACATGTACTTTCAAAATATTTTTTATTAGGATGTTGTACTTTGAAAAATTTACCTCTTTTAGCATTAGGTAACTTTTTTTGATTTAAATTTACCTATTATATCAGGTTTCCATTCCATCTCACCGTCCACATAGGTTGTCCATATGTATTATAGCTGATATGATATTCTTAATACAATATTGTACTTTCAAAATTATTTTACTATAGTCTCTATCAGTTCTTATTACAACTCTGTACTTTAATTTTAACATTTTATTATTTAGATATTTTACATATTATTTAATAAATATATAAAATAACTTAAAAAATTTCTAAATTATTCATTAACATACCAATATTAATAAAACTAGTATAATAATTTATATTGCTAACATTTTTTAAATATATGTATTTTTTGAAAAAAAAATAAAATAAGATTTGTTACTTTTTTTACCAAAAAAATTATTTTTTAAAGAA